CGAGGAGATCGCTATATAAATACGATCGGCGCCTTTTGATGCTCTTTGTTTTTTATTGTTTAAACCCCTTCCCTACCGGGCACTTCCCCCCCCCCCCCTTTCCTGCCCTGGACAAGGTTCAGCTTTGAATGACAATTGCGCAGTCATGCAACACTGCACCCAAACTTCATTTTTATCAAATAAAGCTTTTTTTTTGGTGGTATTTAATCACCACTGGGGTTTTTTTAAAAAAAATTTTGCTAAAATTTTTTTAAAAGACCATACATTTTGGGGGAAAAAGTTATTAGTTTCTGGTTTTAAATTTTGGAAATAAGTCATTTTTCTCCTTCACTAAAGTGCGCTGTTGAGGCTGCACTGATAGATAGCACTGATAGGCGGTAATGATGGGCACTGATAGGCAGTAATGATGGGCACTGGGCACTGGGCATAGGCGGTAATGATGGGCACTGATAGGCGGTAATGATGGGCACTGATAGGGGCACTGATAGGCGGTAATGATGGGGCACTGATAGGCAGTAATGATGGGCACTGATAGGCAGTAATGATGGGCACTGATAGGCGGTAATGATGGGCATTGACAAGCATCACTGATGAGTACTGAAAGGCAGCACTGATAGGCGGCACTGATAAGAAGCAATGATGGCGCACTGATGGATACTAATAGACTGCACTGATGAGGACAGCACTGATGGGCACTGACAATCATCACGGATGGGTACTGAAAGGCAGCAATGATGGGCACTGATAGGCGGCGCTGATGGGTACTAATAGACTCCACTGATGGGCACTGACAAGCATCACTGATGGGTACTGACAAGCATCACTGATGGGTACTGACAAGCATCATTGATGGGTACTGAAAGGCGGCACTGATGGGCGGTAATGATGGGCACTGATAGGCGGCACTGATGAGGACAGCACTAATGGGCAAATAGGCCCGGGCACATTGCACTGAGCAGCCCAAAGCCTGGGGACCCTTTCCTCGGAGCCTGGTGGTGGAACGCCAGGGCACGGTTGCAAGAGCGACCTTCGTAGTTCGGTCACCAGTGTCAGCAGGTTTTTATTTTTATTTAATGTTTTACAATTTTAATTACATTTTTTTTTTTTTTTTACTGTTTTTTTGTAGGAGAGAAGGAAGGAGAGAGAGAAAAAAACAGATAAAGAGAAAAGGAGGGAAACAGGAGAGAGAGAGAGAAAGAAGGAAGGAGGGAGGGAAAGAAAGAGAGAAAGAGAGAGAGAGAGAGAGAGAGAGAGAGAGAGAGAGAGAGAGAGAGAGAGAGAGAGAGAGAGAGAGAGAGAGAGAGAGAGAGAGAAAGAAAGAAAAGAAAGAAAGAAAGAAAGAGAGAAAGAAAGAAAGAAAGAGAAGAAAGAAAGAAAGAAAGAGAAAGAGAAGAAAGAGAGAGGGAACAAAAGAAAGAGAAGACAGAGATGGAGAGGGAAAGAGAGACGTATAGAAAAAAAGAAGAAGAAGGAAGGAGGGAAAGAAGGAAGGAGATAAAACGAGTGAGAGAGAGAAAGAGAGAGAGAGAGAGAGAGAGAGAGAGAGAAGAGAAGAGGGAGAGGGGAGAGGGGGAGTGGGAAAGAGGGAGAGGGAGAGAAAGAGAGAAAGGAAGGAAAAGAAAGAAAGAAAGAGAGATGTATAGAAAGAAAAAGAAGGGAGGAGGGAAAGAAAGAAAGATAAGGGAAAGAAAGAAAGAAAGAAAGAAAGAAAGAAAGAAAGAAAGAGAAAGAAAGAAAGAAAGAAAGAAAGAGAAAGAAAAGAAAGAAAGAAAGAAAGAAAGAAAGAAAGAAAGAAAGAAAGAAAGAAAGAAAGAAAGAAAGAAAGAAATAAGAAGGAAAGAGGGAAAAAAAGAAAGGAAATAAAGAAAGAAAGAAGGAGGGAAAGAAAGAGGGAAAGAAAGAAAGAAGGAGGAAAAGAAAGAGGAAAGAAAAAAAAGGAAGAGGAAACACAAGACAGAGAGAGAGAGAAACAAGGGGGTGCTGCAGCTGCACGGAGAGGTGCAGGATCTGTAGGAAAAGTTATGTTCTCTCTGCTGATTGCTGAGACAAGGTGGGGCCAGAGTCAAGGGGGCACTGCAGCTTCAAAGAGAAGTGCAGGATCTGTAGAAGGAGTTCTGTCCTCCTCTCTGCTGCTGACTACTGAGACAATGTGGGGGTGGAAACAAGGGGGAGCTGCGGCTGCACAGAGAGGTGCAGGATCTGTAGGAGGAGTTCTGTCCTCCTCTCTGCTGCCAACTGCTGAGACAAGGTGGGGGCAGAGACAAGGGTGGTGCTGCAGTTGCACAGAGAGGTGCAGGATCTGTAGGAGGAGTTCAGTTACACATATGCACTATAGGCCTAGCTCACATAGCTGACACACGCTGGGATAAATATCCTTAATAATAATAAAAAATGACAGTTATTTTCAGTAACAAAAATCCGCTGATAAAATCCCTCTGAGAATAGCAATACTGTTTTATTCTTCATAGCTCACCAACTCACCGAATCAGAATCAGGTCTTTGTAACCCCCACAGACTTTCAGAAAGGTTCTATTCAAAATGCTAACACGCCGGATTAAATATCCTTCTTTTATTAAAAAAAAAAAAGTGACAGTTATTTTCAGTTGAGTCCCATGAAATGTGCAAATTACAGTCACATGGCTGAAAATAAAAGGCCTTTGAATGGTATTAAAGCTCTGCAAACTCTGGTCCAGAGTCCTCCGTGTTCTACTCTTGTTTTGGGGGGCAGATAGGAGGTGCGGATCATAACTGAACAAAACCTCAGCGGGGTTCGTGGCTTTCTTCAGAAGCCGGCCGTACCGAGGCCATTAGACTATGAAGTACGAGACGAGGCCCGATGGGAACGGCGGCGTGTGTTCCGCTAACGTTGATGCCGCATAAATGAGAAAAAAATAAAAAGCTTCTATTTTCCAGTAAATTGGACCGTCTGGTGAAAAAAAATTGCGCTGGCAGGGAGAACGCACTCATTTTAAAACGTGTTACGAAAATGTTACAGTTTTCATGTCAGAGTCATTTAACAGTCGCTTGTGTACATGTGTGACCCATCCTACAAAACCGCAACAATGTTACACCTCGCAGGTAAAGGAATACGTGTTCTCCGGAGGTGTTCTCATCCTCTGGGGGGGTTCTCACCTTGCCAGGCGTCTGCGAATATTCCATCACATTGAGGTAACAGAATCTGTAAATAAAATGTGAACACCGGGAATGTGATCCTCTGGACTCGGCTCGGATGGAGGAGTTGATGTTTTCTCAATGTATATATATTCGCAACATTACATGACTCAACACCCACTTTACACATCAATGTTTGTGATAATGATCATCACATGATACACATATATATATATATACACTATATATTGCCCCAAGTATTGGGCCACCGGCCTTTCCCCACACATGACCTTCAGTGGCCCCCCCCCAGTCTTAGTCCGTAGGGTTCAATATTGAGTTGGCCCCGCCCTTTCCACGCACATGACCTTTAATGGCCCCCCAGTCTTAGTCTGTAGGATTCAATATTGAGTTGGCCCCGCCCTTTCCACACACATGACCTTTAATGGCCCCCCAGTCTTAGTCCGTAAGGTTCAATATTGAGTTGGCCCCGCCCTTTCCCCACACATGACCTTCAGTGGCCCCCCCAGTCTTAGTCCGTAGGGTTCAATATTGAGTTGGCCCCGCCCTTTCCACACACATGACCTTTAATGGCCTCCCAGTCTTAGTCCGTAGGGTTCAATATTGAGTTGGCCCCTCCCTTTCCACACACATGACCTTTTAATGGCCTCCCAGTCTTAGTCCGTAAGGTTCAATATTGAGTTGGCCCCTCCCTTTCCACACACATGACCTTTAATGGCCCCCCAGTCTTAGTCCGTAAGGTTCAATATTGAGTTGGCCCCTCCCTTTCCACACACATGACCTTTAATGGCCCCCCAGTCTTAGTCCGTAGGGTGCAATATTGAGTTGGCCCCGCCCTTTCCACGCACATAACCTTTAATGGCCCCCCAGTCTTAGTCCGTAGGGTTCAATATTGAGTTGGCCCCGCCCTTTGCAGCTATAACAGCTTCAACTCTTCTGGGAAGGCCGTCCACAAGGTTTAGGAGGGTGTCTATGGGAAGGTTGGACCATTCTTCCAGAAGCACATTTGTCAGGTCAGGCACTGATGTCGGGGGAGGAGGCCTGGCTCGCAGTCTCCGCTCTAATTCATCCCAAAGGTGTTCTATGGGGTTGAGGTCAGGACTCTGTGCAGGACAGTCAAGTTCCTCCACCCCAAACTGGATCCTCCATGTCTTTATGGACCTTGCTTTGTGCACTGGTGGGCAGTCATGTTGGAACAGGAAGGGGCCATCCCCAAACTCTTCCCACAAAGTTTGGGAGCAGGAAATTGTCCAAAATGTCGCCTTAAGAGTCCCCTTCACTGGAACTAGGGGGCCAAGCCCAACCCCTGAAAAACAACCCCACACCATAAATCCCCCTCCCCCAAACTTTACACTTGGCACAATGCAGTCAGGAAAGTACCATTCTCCTGGCCACCGCCAAACCCAAACACGCCCATCGGATAGCCAGACAGAGAAGCATGATTGGTCACTCTACAGAACACGTCTCCTCTGCTCTAGAGTCCAGTGGCGGCGTGCTTTACACCACGGCATCCGACGCTTTGCATTGCACTTGGTGATGGAAGGCTTGGATGCAGCTGCTCGGCCATGGAAACCCATTCCATGAAGCTCTCTACGCACTGTTGTTGGGCTCATCTGAAGGCCACACCAAGTTTAGAGGTCTTTAGCTATTGACTCTGCAGACAGTTGGCGACTTCTGCGCACTGTGCGCTTCAGCATGCTGACCCCGCCCTGTCATGTGACGTGGCCTACCACTTGCTGTTGTTCCCAGTGGCTTCCAATTTGTTATAATCCCACTAACAGTTGAGCGTGGAATATTTAGTAGCCAGGAAATGTCACGGATGGACTTATTGCCCAGGTGGCCACCTATCACGGGACCACGCTTGGAGTCACTGAGCTCCTGAGAGCGACCCATTCTGTCACCAATGTTTGTAGAAGCCGTCTGCATGCCTAGGGGATGATTGTATACACCTGTGTCCATGGAGGGGATTGGAACACCTGAATCACATGATATGGAGGGGATTGGAACACCTGAATCACATGATATGGAGGCGATTAGAACACCTGAATCACATGATTTGGAGGGGATTGGAACACCTGAATCACATGATATGGAGGGGATTGGAACACCTGAATCACATGACTGGGAGGGGATTGGAACACCGGAATCACATGATATGGACCAATTAGCCAGGGACGGACTGACAACTCATGGGGCCCCGGGCAATAAGGGATCATGGGGCCTGTGTCCTCGCCCACACTCAAACCACACCCAAAAAAGCCTATGAAAGGTACCAGGGGCATCTCATGGGTCCCCTACTGACCCCGGGCAGTGCCCGAGTTCCCATATGGTCAGTCCGCCGCTGCAATTAGCACTTTCACCGCATCTCCATGCAATGGAAAATATTCTCACAATCAGCCTTAAACACCTGAAGCGGTGATGTCTGCACCCCCCCCCCCACAGTGTGCCACGCCGATTGACAGCAGAGCTTAGAATAGAAGAGGGGAAGTTCCATGGCATCATAGAAGGGAAGACTTTTCCTCTGAAGAAGCCACATCTATGGCGTAACTCGTAAATACCTCCTTCCAGGACCGTGATACCCTACGCCTCCTCCCGGAACCGTGCTACCCTACGCCTCCTCCCAGAACCGTGCTACCCTACGCCTCCTCCCAGAACCGTGCTACCTTACGCCTCCTCCCGGAACCGTGCTACCCTACGCCTCCTCCCGGAACCGTGCTACCCTACGCCTCCTTCCGGAACCGTGCTACCCTACGCCTCCTCCCGGAACCGTGCTACCCAAAGCCTCCTCCCGGAACCGTGCTACCCAAAGCCTCCTTCCGGAACCGTGCTACCCAAAGCCTCCTTCCGGAACCGTGCTACCCTACGCCTCCTTCCGGAACCGTGCTACCCTACGCCTCCTTCCGGAACCGTGCTACCCTACGCCTCCTTCCGGAACTGTGCTTTCCTTTGCCTCCTTCCAGAACCGTGCTACCCTACGCCTCCTTCCAGAACCGTGCTACCCTACGCCTCCTTCCAGAACCGTGCTACCCTACGCCTCCTCCCAGAACTGTGCTACCCTACGCCTCCTTCCAGAAGTGTGCTACCCTTTGCCTCCTTCCAGAACCGTGCTACCCTACGCCTCCTTCCAGAACCGTGCTACCCTACGCCTCCTTCCAGAAGTGTGCTACCCTACGCCTCCTTCCAGAACCGTGCTACCCTACGCCTCCTTCCAGAACTGTGCTACCCTACGCCTCCTCCCAGAACCGTGCTACTCTACGCCTCCTTCCAGAAGTGTGCTACCCTACACCTCCCTCCAGAACCGTGCTACCCTATGCCTCCTTCCAGAACTGTGCTACCCTACGCCTCCTTCCAGAACTGTGCTACCCTACGCCTCCTTCCAGAACCGTGCTACCCTACGCCTCCTTCCAGAAGTGTGCTACCCTACACCTCCCTCCAGAACCGTGCTACCCTACGCCTCCTTCCAGAACCGTGCTACCCTACGCCTCCTCCTGGAACCGTGCTACCCTACGCCTCCTCCCGGAACCGTGCTACCCTACGCCTCCTCCCGGAACCGTGCTACCCTACGCCTCCTTCCGGAACCGTGCTACCCAAAGCCTCCTTCCGAAACCGTGCTACCCAAAGCCTCCTTCCGGAACCGTGCTACCCTACGCCTCCTTCCAGAACCGTGCTACCCTACGCCTCCTCCCAGAAGTGTGCTACCCTACGCCTCCTTCCAGAACCGTGCTACCCTACGCCTCCTTCCAGAACCGTGCTACCCTACGCCTCCTTCCAGAAGTGTGCTACCCTACGCCTCCTTCCGGAACCGTGCTACCCTACGCCTCCTTCCAGAAGTGTGCTACCCTACGCCTCCTTCCAGAAGTGTGCTACCCTACGCCTCCTTCCGGAACCGTGCTACCCTACGCCTCCTTCCAGAAGTGTGCTACCTTACGCCTCCTTCCAGAAGTGTGCTATCCTACGCCTCCTTCCAGAAACGTGCTACCCTACACCTCCTTCCAGAACCGTGCTACCCTATGCCTCCTTCCAGAACCGTGCTACCCTATGCCTCCTTTCAGAACCGTGCTACCCTACGCCTCCTTCCAGAACCGTGCTACCCTACGCCTCCTTCCAGAACCGTGCTACCCTACGCCTCCTTCCAGAACCGTGCTACCCTACGCCTCCTCCCAGAACCGTGCTACCCTACGCCTCCTTCCAGAACTGTGGTACCCTACGCCTCCTTCCAGAACTGTGGTACCCTACGCCTCCTTCCAGAACTGTGCTACCCTACGCCTCCTTCCAGAACTGTGGTACCCTAGGACAGGACTAAAACATGTGGAAGAAGGTGCCTACAGATGTACAACCAGGGCTGTCTTTAACGCGAGGCAAAAAGGACAGCTGCCCCAGGCCCAGTCATTGTTGTGGGGCCCGAAGCAGCTGAGATGCTCCTTGGGCCTGCAAATAGTTGAATTTTACTATCACTCAGGAGGGTGGAATTGAATGTTGGGGGGGGGGCGCTGGTGATTGTTTAAGTGTGATATCTGCAGCCTGCGCGGTGATTGGCCAGCCAGGTAGACCTTGTCCAAGGGGAGCACCTGTCAGTCCTGGGGGCAGTCGCACAACCCCTCTCACTCACCATGTCTGACAAGCCACTGACCATCGGCCCTCGGGAGGGTTCAGGGGGATGTGACTGGTGTTCACCTGACATCTGGACACTATCAAGGTAAGACCACTGGGGGGGGCAATACATAGGTCTGTGGAGGGAGGGGAAGGAGTGTAATATGAGAGCAAAATGCATTGGGGGGGGGGGGGGGCTCAAGAAAATGTTTGCCCAGGGTCCAATCAATATTAAAGATGGCCCTGGTTACATGTACTGTATATAGATATATATATTTATTTCTTTATTTTTAATATACTACAATTTTGGCCATATTCAATATACTTCAAAATATATTTATTTATTGAAATATACTTTTAAATATATTGAATATGGCCAAAATTGTAGTATTTCAAATATATTTTTCTTCCATGTGGGTAACTTCAGGGACAACATGTTCACTTGCTGCCTAATATGTCCCACCCACTTTCAGGGGCCATTGTAAAGACATAATCCATGGTATCCGTGGTCATCATGTGATGGCTGATCGGAGTATACGTGTTCAGGCGTGTAGGCGAGGGGTTAGGGAATATTCTGTTCCAGGAAATCTCCTAACGGACACATAGTACTCCTAGATTGCAAGCTCCCAGGATCAGCCCCTCCCTCTTAGATTGCAAGCTCCCAGGATCAGCCCCTCCCTCTTAGATTGTAAACTCCCAGGATCAGCCCCTCCCTGTTAGATTGTAAACTCCCAGGATCAACCCCTCCCTCTTAGATTGTAAACTCCAAGGATCAGCCCCTCCCTCTTAGATTGTAAACTCCCAGGATCAGCCCCTCCAACTTTAGATTGTAAGCTCCCAGGATCAGCCCCCCCCTCTTAGATTGTCAGCTCCCAGGATCAGCCCCTCCCTCTTAGATTGTCAGCTCCCAGGATCAGCCCCTCCCTCTTAGATTGTCAGCTCCCAGGATCAGGCCCTCCCTCTTAGATTGTCAGCTCCCAGGATCAGTCCCTCCCTCTTAGATTGTCAGCTCCCAGGATCAGGCCCTCCCTCTTAGATTGTCAGCTCCCAGGATCAGGCCCTCCCTATTAGATTGTAAACTCCCAGGATCAGGCCCTCCCTCTTAGATTGTCAGCTCCCAGGATCAGGCCCTCCCTCTTAGATTGTCAGCTCCTTAGGATCAGGCCCTCCCTCTTAGGATCAGGCCCTCCCTCTTAGATTGTAAGCAGCCGCTCCCAGGATCAGCCCCTCCCTCTTAGATTGTAAGCTCCCCAGGATCAGGCCCTCCCTCTCAGATTGTAAACTCCCAGGATCAGGCCCTCCCTCTTAGATTGTAAAGCCTCCCTCTTAGATTGTATCAGCAGCCCCTCCCTCTTAGATTGTCAGCTCCCAGAATCAGGCCCTCCCTCTTAGATTGTAAACTCCCAGGATCAGGGCCCTCCCTTTAGATTGTAAGCTCCCAGGATCAGCCCCTCCCTCTTAGATTGTCTTCCCAGATTGTCCCTCTTAATTGTCAGCTCCCAGGATCAGCCCCTCCCTCTTAGATTGTCAGCTCCCAGATTCCCTCTTAGATTGTAAACTCCCCAGGATCAGCCCTCCCTCTTAGATTGTAAACTCCCAATCACCCCTCCCAGGATTGCCCCTCCCCTCCTAGATTGTAAACTCCCAGAATCAGGCCCCTCCCTCTTAGATTGTAAAGGCCCTCCCTCTTAGATTGTAATACTCCAGGATCAGCCCCTCCCTCTTAGATTGTAAGCTCGCCAGGATCAGCCCCTCCCATCCCTCTTGTATTGATCTGTATTGTTTAAACTCCCAGGATCAGTTATATTGTACATCGCTGAGCAAACTGTTATTTTTTTTTTATTTTTTTTTTTTTAATTTTTTTTTTTTTTTTTTATTTTTTTTTTTTTTTTTTTATTTTTTTTTTTTTATTTTTTGGCTTATTTTGTTTTTCATTTAAATAAATTTATATATATTTTTATTTTTTTTATTTTACGTTTTTTTTTTTTTTAATTTTTTTTTTTTTTTCATAAATTATTGTTATTTTTTTTTTTTTTTTTTTTTTTTTTTAATTTTTTTTTTAAATAAAACTTTTTTTTGCACAGCGGCATTTTTTGGTTAGCACGTTTGCCTTTTACTTGGGTTGTGGGCAGGGGCAGACTTTTCCATTTAGCCACTTTTTTTATTGCCCGAGGGTCTTTTTTTTTTTTTTTAGGGGGCCCCATGAGATTTTTTTTTTACCTTTCATTTTTTTTTTTTTTTTTGTGGTTTGAGTGTTTTTTTTTTTTTTTTTTTTTTTTTTTTTTTTTTTTTATTGCCCGGGGGCCCCATGAGTTGTCAGTCCACCGCTGGTCGTGGGTTTTTACATTTTTTTTTTTTTTTTTTTTTTGCCTGGAATTTTTTTTCTTTGTTTTGTGTTTTTTTTTTTTACTTTTTTTTTTTTTTTTTTTTCCAAAGACATTTTGGGAGGTGAATTTTTCCTTTTTTTAATTTGTTTTTTTTTATGTTTTTTTTTTTTTGTTTTTTTAGACCTTAGACT